GCTATGACCCCGGGCTACCTTTCCCCGGGCGGGGACTTTGTGAAGAACGGGCCGAACGAGCAGCCACCCTGCAGGCGTCTCCTCGGCATGGTTGTGACATCTGGCATTCTAGTGAATCGCGTTATTCTTCGTGCAGTGTCTGGCGCAATGGCTATGTATGTTTCCATATGAGCGTGCCTTCCAGCATGCGCGGAGGAGGAGGAGGCGGAGAAGGAGGAGGAGGAGGAGGAGGGCAAGGAGGAGGAGGAGGAGGAGAGGAGGATGAGGAGGAGCAGGGGGGGAGGAGGAGGAGGAGGAGGAGGAGGGAGGAGGAGGAGGAGGAGGAGGAGGAGGAGGAGGAGGAGGAGGAGGAGGAGGAGGAGGAGGAGGAGGAGGAGGAGGAGGAGGAGGAGGAGGGAGGAGGAGGAGGCGGCGGCGGCGGCGGCGGCGGCGGCGGCGGCGGAGGAGGAGGAGGAGGAGAAGGAGGAGGAGGAGGAGGAGGAGGAGGAGGAGGAGCAGCGAGGGTCAACGCTGGCGTGTAGCCCAGCGGGGCGCCCTTTCCCGCCGGTCGCGGCTGCCGCTCGCCCAGGACGACGCCCCAGCCCTCGGCCGCCGTCGCCCGCCTGGCCGCGGCGGGCGCCGCGGCCCGCTTGGCCGCGGCCGTGGCCTGCCTCCTCTGAGCTGCCCGTGGGTCGAGACTGCCGTCAGCGCTGCTGCTCCTCCTCTTCCTCCTCCTCGTCGTCGTCGTCCTCCTCCTCGCAGCTACTAGGTTCCAGGCGGACTCTGAGTATGGCAAGCGGTTTCTTCTCTTGGTAGGCTGGAGTTTTGCTCCAGGACGTGGATGGCTTTAGGAATGAGGTCGCCGCCTAGAACACGGCTCGCCACCACCAGCTTCAGGAGCTGGCGCGGCTCGCGCCATGGCCAGTCAAGGAGAAATGCAACACTGGGGGAAAGTCCAGGAGCTTTCCAGTAGGAGAGCGTTGCTTTGGCGGCCTCGTCAGCGACGTTTTGTCCTTCGGGGCATTCGGGTTTCTCAGGCAGGCCACCAAAGCGACGTAGTCAGGGAGCCAGGTCCGATTGCGGACGCTCTCAAGGAGTATTGGCGACCCGTTTTTTCGAAGCAGCCCAGACTGGCGCAAGACATCGAAGAGTTTCTTGACGAACACATGCCCGAAATTCTTGCCTATGAGTTTCACGTTCCCACCTCTGCTGAGATGGCCCAGTGTTTGAGTCGGTCACGTGACTCTGCGCCAAGTCCGGACCGACTCACGTATGCAGCGTGGAAAAGCCATCCCGAGTGTCTTGCTGTGCTCCAGCGCCTCCTCCTCTACCTCATGGGCGGCAACCCTGGCCCTCCCGGCCTCAACCACAGTCTCTTTGCGTTTATCCCGAAAGGGGTCGACCCCAGGGATGTCACAGACTGCGTCCGAGCTCCAGGTGTCCTCAGACCTCTGACTCTCAAGAATTCGGACAGCAAGCTCCTCGCGTCTGTGCTTAATCACCAGTTGCAGTACTGTGTTGCGTCTCGGACCCACGTGTCCGACAGGGATTCGTCAAAGGACGCAATCTGGCCTATCATGTGGTTCGCATGGACACGGCTGCTCTCCGCGCTAGCGTGGTCAACGCCGACACCGATCCGCTCTTTGTAAGCTTCACAATCAAGGCTGCCTTTCCCAGCATGAGCCAGGCCTGGCTTCGACTTGTGCTGGAAAGGTGCCGCCTGCCCAAGAGCTTTTTGCAGGCGATTGCTGCTCTGGCAGCCGATTCGCTGGCGCATACGCTGGTCGGGCCTGTGGTCGTGTCCATGTTTTTGATCACAGCAGGCGTTCCCCAGGGGTGCCCCCTCTCAGGCTCTCTCTGGACTCTCGGGTTTGACCCCTCCCTCCGTCACCTCTTCCTCCCTGTCCCCTCCAGCGAGCAAGCCACCCTGGGGGCGTGTACCGACGATGTAGGAGTTGTGCCCAATCATATATTGATGCTACCAATGCTGTATGCGACCTTTCAGTTCGCTCAAAGTCTCGCAGGGCTAGCCCTTCACCCGGCGAAGCGCGTTGTTGTGCTGCTTGCCGTCGCCTGCACAGCGGTTGAATGCGCTCGCGTCGCCAGTCAGATAGCTCATCTGGTGCCAGCCTGGGCGACCTTCCAGATCGCGAGTTGGGCCAAATATTTAGGGATCCTCATCGGCCCTGGTGCTGATTTGCGAGAGCAGTGGAAGGAGGCTGGTTACAGGCGGTGGTCGCGGACACGAGCGATTGCCTTGACTCGAGTCCCGAGCGAGGCGGCCATACGCCTGAGAATTTCTCTGCACGATTTCTTTGGGTTGGGAAGCTGGCTCCACTCTTCTACCCCTACCAGCGTGCAGGTGTATGCGTCAGGATGCGCATGGCGGCCGCATGGCGTGCGTCAGCGCACAGTCTGAAACACTGGGCGGGGGATTTCGAGTGGTGGTGGGTCGGGGCGGACGTGCGCGGCTTTCACATGAGAGTACGACGAGGTCTCCTCTCAGCGGACTGTTGGGTCGAAGGTTCAGGTGTCTTGCAGCACTATAGAAAGTTCGTCCGAGGCTGCCGCGGCCTCCCTTTTCCCGCGGATCGAGGCGATCGCCACCGCCACCGTCGGGGCAAATATGTACAAGGGTACCTTCGTAGCTAAACTAAGTAGTTTAATGTATGCGGATCGTGTCCACGAGCTGCTGTCCAGAAGGCTCCGCACATGGTTCCCACATTCGGACCCCTTGCCCGAGGACCAGATCAAAACCGGGTGGCCGCGTCTTCGGCAGGTTTTGGCCACATCGCAGCCCAGTGAAGTTTGGTCTCATCTTAAGACTCTGGCTGGAGGGTGGATCACCAGCCACATAATCAAGATCCTCACTCCTTTACAGTGTCGACCTGGCTGCCCCGACTGCCCCGACTCGTTCCTCCACTACCTCTCTTGCCCTCGCCTCCTTCATCTCATCGCGCTGCCCCGTCTGCATATTCCGTCCGCTCCTCCTTTTCTGTGGTTTGGCCTGGGATCCGAGGAGTAATGCCAAGACACCGATCTCACGGTGGCCATTGCCCCTGATTTAGCCAGTCTCGCTCACGGCCTAATCGATAAATTTCGTGCCGAGCTTTCTGAACCCCCGCAGCCGCTCTGCAACTACGCGCAACACCTTTCAATCCGCCATGCGGCGCTCATCAGACGGTAACCCAGGGCTCGTCTATGGACGTGCGCTCGTCGTCGTCGTCCTCCTCCTCCTCCTCCCTCTTTACGCTCGTCTCCTCCTCCTCCTCCTCCTCTTCTTCTTCTTCCTCCTCCTCCCCCTCGTCCTCGTCCTCGTCCTCCTCTTCCTCCTCCTCCTCCTCCTCCCCGTTCCCTCCACCCTCCTCCCTCCTCCCTCCTCCTTGTCCTGCTCCTCCTCCTGCTGTTCCTCCTCCTCCTGTTTCTCCTCCTCCTCCTCCTCCTCCTCCTCTTCCTTTTCCTTCTAGATAACCCCTCCCTGTTGCACCCCGAGGCCAGTCGAAAGGGCGGGCTGGGCGTTTTGCTTGAGACGTCCTCACCAATCATGACCCAGATACTCCAACACTGACAACAGTTTCACAGATGGAGGGCAGGCCGTTTTCAACATGTCGCTTTCGCTTTAGCGCCACGCACACTCGTTTGAAACATGCGCTAGAGCTTCAGGGATCGAGGGTGGCTCGTTTTCAAATGTGGCTCTCGCCTGAGCGCCGAACACATTCGTCTTCATCTTTTGCAAGATGTGCTCTGCTTGAGGGTGGCTCGTTTTCAAACTGTGACTCCTGCCTTGGCGCCGCGCACAGTTGGTTGCACATTTTGCGAAAACTGCTCGGACTGAGGGCGGGCCGTTTTCGAAATGTGGCTCTCGCCATAGCGACGCGCGCATTCGTGCTAAACGTTATCAAGGGTTTCACGGACTGAGGGTTGTTCGTTTTTAAAATTGTGGCTCTCGCGCCAGCGCCGCGCACACGAGTCTCCAATCTAGATCAGGGCTTGACGGGTTGAGGGCGGCTCGTGTTCAAACTGTGATTCTCGCCTTAGCGCCGAGTACATTCGTTTGCAACGTTTGCAAGAACTTCACGGATTGAGGGCGGTTCGTCTTCAACACGTGGTTCTCGCCTCAGCGCCGCGCACATTCTTGCCAAACAGAGGCACGAGCGCAGCAGTCACGTTGATTTGCGGTGTTGCAGTCCCAGGAGTGATGTATTGACACGATTCAGGGCCGTCAGTACGTAACTGTCACCCAACGGAGCACTTCCTTCAATGCAGATGGCCTTGCACGTGGGGTCGATATTCGGGCGCAACGCTATCAAAGCCCTGCCCTTCCCCGATCGTGGCCTGAGAACGCATCGCGAGGCCAGGTCCTTGACTTGTCGCCTCGCGTTGCATCCGCAAGACAAGCACCATAACAACTCCTCCTTGTCTTCCCCTAAAACCCACATCCTGTTGGAGGGCTGCTGCCAGGGCGCCCGCACTGGATTATTGCACTGCGCCTGGCTTCATTGGACCCGCGCAATCCGCAGCCGCACCTGTCTTCAGTCTTGCGAAGAAGGTGGCCTCAGTCGCTGGTCGTGCTCTGCAGCAGACAGAGGCGCCCATCTACTGAAGCTTGGGCATCCTCAGGGACCTTCTGGACCCCAGGGACGGTGTCAACATCTGGGAAACCTACTTCACTTAGCTGCTTCAAGGTGCCTGCCAGGAGCCTCGCAGATTGCCCACCGAAGTTCTGAGCCGCGTGACCTCTTTGGTCCAAGTGGGGAGCCACAGGGTGCTCCATGGCGCCCAGCCCAGCGTGCTTATCAGCCTGCCACTTCTTAGGATACCAAGAGCCCGAGACATCGTGATTGCGATGCCAGGGCCTGCTCTTCTGTGACGGCGCCCACGCAAGGTTCACAGCCTCACTTCCCACATCTCCCAACTTCCCGAAGACTAGCCTCCAAATCTCCCAGTACGGTTCCGAGACAGGGCACATCGCATCTGAGCCCTTCTAGAGACGAACCAACAAGTTGTTGTGATGTGTGACGATCGTGGCCTTCACCCCCATCTGGCACATCGATACGTAGAAAGCGTCGGCCAAGCCTGCACTCTGGAGTCGGCCTGGCATCGGACCGTTCGCAACTGCCGACGCACTTTCACTGCAAAGCGTAAGTAATGCGACCGCCCAACCTGCTCTGGGCATCCACTCCACGTCTGGATTGACGCCCGAGCCGTCAATGAACATCTCCTCGCCTAGGTATCCACAGCTCAGAAGGCCTCGCCTAGGGCGCTCGAGCTCTGATCAAGGCGGCGGCACGGCATCTCTCAGGCTGTCAGTCACTCCGAACTCTACCAGCTGGTTCCCCCCCTGCTCTCTCCCTATCTCAACCAACCCCTCACATGCCTGGTAGCTGAGGCTACATGCCTCGAGGCCGTCACAGCTGTGCATCCTATCAGAAATCGAACCCTGCGAGCACCCGCACCACCGACACGAAGCCGAGACCATCTTTGTTGAAACACTTTGTATTGCGTTTGCAGCCCACCTAACATTTGGATTGAAACGAGATCATCTGCGACCACGTCGCCTTTGCCTCGGAGCTCCTGCCAGGCAGACTTGGCGTAGTCCAGGAAAGGAGCCCCATGCCAAGTCATGTGTTCGGCAGCCTGGATATCTTGATTGATACAAGCCCTGAGGGCCTTCGAGCCTGTGTGAGCGAGGTTGATCTCGACGCCCTTGGGATCCACCCACCCGTTGTAGCTCATGATCTGCCATCCAGGACGCCTCAAAGTCTGGACCACTGCTCCCCCAGGGCCGCACGAGAGCCCCGCCTCAAAAATCACTTCATGATGCCCTGAGACACCCAACTTTCATGATACGCCTGGAGCCACGTCGCGAGGGGCAGCGTGTTTGTGATGAACGCTTGGTCGAGGTCTGGTGGACCTTTCAAAAGGTACTGGACTGATCTGGGCGTGCCCTTCGCTTTGCCGAAGAGGACCAAGGATAGGGGATCGAAAAATGACATTGTGACATAAACATAAAAACTCGGATGTCCGCGCGGATTCCTCGGATCGGCGCTGGGGCCCCCAGGCGGCGCCTCCGGCGCCGCCGCTCGCGCGGACCTCCGAGTTTTTATGTTTATGCCATTTTTCGTTCCCCTAAAGGAGGCCGCCGCTCGAAGTTCAGAGAGCTCTGTTTCCTCACCTCAATCTCCTGAACTCCGCACGTGGCCGACGCCAACCCACCAGCTCGGAGCACTCTGGGGAGCCTTTTCTTTCTGTGCTCGAGCGCCCAGAACTTGTGGACCCTCTTGTGAAGATTGGCAAATCTTAGGGGGCCACATGCAAACCCTACCCATACCCCCCACGATTTCTGAGGGGGAGGGTGGGGTTCACTTCGTTCGGGAGCTCCCGAGCGAAGTGAACCCCACCCTCCCCCTCAGAAATCGTGGGGGGTAGGGGTAGGGTTCGCATGTGGCCCCCTAAATCTATTCTACAGAGCCCTCTTGCCTTTCCTCAGCTGCTGGCCGAAGTCGTACCCGAGGTTGTTGACACCAAGGCAAGCCTTGACGTTAAAATACTTGAGCTTCCTGCCCAGCTTGAGCGCCAGCGTGTTGGACGATGCGACGAGCTGTCACTTCTTCCGTGAAACGACCATGTGAATCCTCCGAAGGGCGGCAAAGCATTGTATTCACTCCTGACAGACTCTCTCGAACGAACTCTTCCGAACCTATCGCGCGACATCACCTACCATTACATGCAAAGTTTCCGAAGCCCACCAGTCTCGCATACACCAACGGATCATGAAGGCCAGGTCGCACCGCGAAAGAACAGCCGGCAACGCTCGAGCGCG